TGGGCGAATGCCCAGAGAGTTCTCTCCGAGGGGGTAGCCACATCCATTATGCAAGAGTGCTAAAAGGCCTATTTTCAAATTAAACAAGCATGCCATCAGTGCGCATGAAAAGTGAGAGGAGTCAACAATCATTTTGAGCGGAATGAAGAGACATATTAAAATAGTAATTTTCAACAAATATGATATAATATGTCTTTATGATACGAGTGGTAAAAGTGACATTGTATTTTGAGACCCGGAAAGGCTGTAATACGCGACCAATCTTGTGGCACGCTCTTCTAGCAGAATAAAATAATTTTTACCACGTGTCTTACTCTATTTTTAGACAACTTTCTGAGTTTAATTTTATTTTAATTCAAGAATACAATCATTTACTAATTGTGTACAAATTTACCTTAAAGCCAATAGTAGCTGATAGGTCAGACGAAAGTATTTTGTTTTCGTTGTTTCAGACACACTACTTTGTCTGAACATTTGGGAATACATCACTTTCCGCTCTAGTGCTGAAAAGTGAACTTTTAGAAGTTTTATGTGTCAATTAGTCAATTTTACGTAGTTTAAATACATAAACTGTGAAATCATGGAAATGCATTTGATAACGTATAGTAAACTTTTAAAAGTTGAACAGTGTAAATTGAGCAGTAAAGTAAACACGTACTTGCCTCTAGCCCGCACTTGCATTGTAATGGTTCACACTCATTTGTGGATCTTGTTACTCATATTTATGAGTGAATGAATGGATTGGAATGATGCAATGGAAAGAAATGATGGTTTTAAATTTTTTTAGGATTAAAAGAGAAAGTTGTTTAATGAAATACCAATATAAAATCATTTATCCTTTCAGATATCGCAAGAAATAAAATCAGTTAACTTTAGACAAAACTTTAACGTCGGTAATACTGAAAAGTGCCGTAGTGTTGCAATCGTACAGCTTGTGGAAGTATTCTTGAAGAAAAATAATGAATTTGACACGAATAACATAGGACCGATGGGATTATTCAATGGTGAAAAGGCAGCTGAACGCTAACGTCCATTCATCTTTTCAAATGTAATCAGTTGTCAAAACACAACACACCTTCACTAGCCAATACTCGTGGATCACTAGTGCACAGCAGTGCAGCCAATAATATAAAATATTCGCAAAATCCTCCAGAGCTTAATAGATTCTCACTTTCTGTTAGTTATAGAGAAGCAGAAAAGGTAAAGGATGCTCGAAATTAAGAAAAGAAAACAAGGAGATGTTTTTCATTTATATTTGGTTGCAATGGAATAATTTTAAGAATTGTAAAATACCATGAGAACGAAAGTAGAACTGATTAGGGAACTGATTTTCATGTAAATAAATTTTTATAGGCAAAAGACACTTACATTCAATAACTTTAAGTGATTGAAAATCAGGGATTTTACCCATTACTACACATTTTTTGTATTTCGTAGCGTTTTAATATTTTACATTTCGAAACTGAGCACTTCAGTAACACGTTTGCCAATATATGTTCCTGGAATCGCCTTTCCATGAAACAAACCAGTGTAATACTGCCCTACTGTAATCTTGGAACCTTTGCCGTTAATGGACAAACTTAGTCACTCTTTCTCGGAAAACTCTTACCTGGAATCAAGGATGAACGGAAATTTGCACAGCAAAAGCAGTCGCAACCACTTGTTTGCGCATGTCCATTGGTCATTGCGCACCGTCGAGCGAAATATGTCAAACATTTCTTGCAGTCTTATTGTCTTATCGCTCTTCCTGCCTCTTAGAGAGGCAGAATTCGGAAGCTGCTTGTGATATCCTGTCCGCTCGAGCTTGGAAATATTCCTTTGAAATATGTTACGATCCACATGTGGCAACACTTGTTTTGTTTAGAGTTTGGTTTTAATTGCACAATTGGACTTAGGGGAGGATGTTGTCCTCTATGCCACCCCGCCCCCACATGTCTTCTCTGTGAAGACCAGTATCTAATAATTTCTGGGGAGGAAGAACGTTTCTTCGCTCACTTTAAAGTCAATTTGAGGCTTATTAGGTTAAGTTTACAGCTTTTAACGTATAGCTGTAAATTTCACAATCCCTCCGCTAATCGCCACGAACTTGCCGGGATCACCACGGTAGACCACCTATTGTTTGACTAAGATGGTTTGCTCAGTTGGCACAATCTATTCACTGTCTGTGCGACATAAGCCCTTATTGTTACTCGCTTATTTACTTGTGAAGGAAAAATAAATGAACATTACCAACTGGAGTCACATGTTTAACAGCTGTCCCAACGGAAACTAAAAACTCGAGGGAACAGTCATAATCAATTTTAGAGGAGTGATTTACTAGGAATTAAAACAAATATTTAATAATAAATACAAAATAATTATTACAAAAGTTGGGGAATAAATTAATGGTCAAGAAAAAAAATAACCTAATTGTTATATGAAGAATACATTTTCCTTAATTATCACTTTATTATTATTATACTATATTTCCTTATTATTTTTCCATTATTATTATTATTATTATTATTTATTATTATTTTATTATTTTATTATAATTTTTATTATATATATAGTGTTCGTTAATCCTCATTGTACAATTCTGATTCCTTTCTTTACATAACCTATCATGAATTGGTTGTAACTAGATGACGAACAGAATTTTCTTATATGCACTATTTCTTAAATTTTCTGAAAAATATAGCTTCAACCAGGAATTTGTGTCATTACAAATATATTCTAGTTTACTTCCCGCAAAACCGCTGCATGTCGAATCTGTAAAGAGCGCTGATAATCAGACTAGGGCTCCAGACGGGATAGATTTGAGTCTGTACTTTTTACGACTCCAATTCGACGAATTAAAAAAGAGAGAGAGAATAGTCATGTACCGGTTTTTCTCGTGAATTCTGAGTATAGGGTGCGGATCAATAGACGCTGGTTGGCGGTGGCATGGGGTAGGGCGCCGAAGCACGGCATTCAGCAGCTTGATGCGCCATGTATCAAATTGGTGGCGGACAAATGAACGCTTGCGGCAACTTATCGCGTTCCACTCATCAACGCTGCTAGTAGCGAACATTCTGGACGTTCGGCGCGCTGGCTGTTCACGTTGGATCGTGGCTTTAGACGTGGGCGTTCACAGATTGAAGAGGATATAGAACTTTTTGACGTCGGTGTTTGTGAGGATCGCTCGTGGCGATAAAGGGGCAAAAGCTTGCAATACAGAACTGTGGGGAAATGTTTGGAAAGACATTTTTCGTAAATTATCAGAAGCATCTAATAACTCATATATTTTTTGTACTAACCATAAAATATATATTGAGTGAAAACGTTAAAAATCGAATTACACAGAAACTAAACGAGAGATTTTTCAGAAACATTGACCAAGTTTCTGATTGTACTTAATTAGATGATTATACATGAAGTTTATAGAAAAATATCTCCCGATAATTGTTGTTTTGGGCTGCCCGTCTGAACATTGCTTTGTAAGAGTTACGGTTATGTGTATCCATTTGAATTGCGTTATTGAGAGGGCTATCAACATTGTTATTTAACAAGACAGTAATTTTGTAAAATACGCGTACTTTATAATTGCTTCTCGTCAATGAACCATCAGTCTTAGTTTTTTGGGTAAGGTTTTTTTATTGAAAGCATGTTTCAAAGCGAATTAAAGTAGCACTTCTATTCTGTGTTACATATATTGATGGTACCGTTTTTCATAAAAACAGTGCCTTTTCTTTTGGAAAATCCAACTGAAATATATATCGATAATGCACTGATTTGCAGTCCGCATTTCTACCTGGGCAAGCGCGTGGAAGAGAGTCTAGACAAGTTCCAGCTAGATCTCGAGCACTGTTGAATCGGGGTACTGCAGGCCTGCCGCATGCCGGACGAGAAGAGCTGTTCAGCAGCAGCCGATGCAGGCGTGGGCATGCCAGCGTTCTACGTGCTCGTACCAATGCATTACCCTAGAATATGCCGGCGTTGCAAACTGTTTGCGATTAACATATCTATAAAAATAGAGAATTGCTGGGTCCCTTTTGAACAAAATACACATTTTTCAACAACACGAACTCTACAAGGCGTCGATGAAAACATTAAGCGGGTGAAGCAATTCACCTGAATAACATTTTACCCGTAAATAGCATAATGGTTCAAATTTTAAACTGCAAATACTATATGTAGTTGGTTTACGCACTGTAAAATATAATTTAGTGTTGTTATCTTTGTACATTTCATTGAATTTTGGAATAGGATTTTGAAATAATTACTACGTTACATTATATGTTAACCTTGGGCCATGATACTGAATAGTTTTTACTAGTCTCTAGCCTGGAGCATATCAGTTCAGAGGTTAATTGGAGTATTATACTTTTTAATGATGCTGCAAAGTTTAATAATTTAACATTGAATGTGTTTAGCACGTTTTTTTGGGGTGGTGGTGGATGATTCGAGTATCCCGAACGTAGGAATAAATAGATGGGATCCAGAAATATAAAAACAATATTAGAGTTTCTGCTTATTATATTGGACCTGTTGATGTATAAGAATATTAATAGTCGAGGGACAAGGAGGTAGACCAACGTTTAATTTTAAAAAAAAATCGTATAATACGAACGGCACAATTAATTTTATGATCATTAGTCATCAATATTATAATGATAGATGATGAGTAACAAGTGAAATTGATTTTAAGAATGAAAACCAGAAACAAAAAATAAATCTGTAATGATTTCTAATTGATAATTTTCACTCGGTGTAAATTACTTTTAAAGTTAATAATTGGTATAAGCACATAATATACAATGCATTAATTTAATAAAGCACATTTATGAGTATTTTGCAGAACGTTTTTGTGAAAAAATTCCGTGAAAAAATTCCTGCTGAGGACTTCCAAAATTCATTTCACAAAACAAATATTTATGCTCCGTACAAATACATTTTGTTTATTAACGTTCGCGTTGGTCGACGTGCCGTCAACCAACACGGAGCCAACGAGAGCAAGGGTGGAAAGGAGAGTCACTCACCTCTCGGATGTCGATTTTGCCGTCCTGGTTGTCGTCGTAGGCCTCCAGGAAGCAGCGCTTCAGCTCCTGCAGCATCGCGTCCGACACCGCCTGCGCATGCGTACATGTGTGAGCGCTCACGCCCTTGGGGGCTGCGCTCCGCCCCGCCCCGCCCCGCCCCCGCGCGGCCCACGCCAGGGCGCGCCAGCACCCGCTCGGGGGCCGGACGCGGCCCCGGGGTGGACCTCGCCCGCGGGTTACCTTTCATCATGCGTCACGTGTTTTTGGAATTTTACGATCGGATTAATCCGTCTTTTGGCGGCTAGCGCGTTTCTCAGGCCTGAGCCCTGTGTTTATGTATTACCCACCCCTGGTTTTAAGAGAGACGTGAGGCAAGCATGGCGTATTATTTTCACCGCATCTAGCATTTTGGGCCTGCCTGAGTTTTGCTTTCATTATGTAGCTAGTACAAAAAACCAGAGACAGTCCTATTTTCCCCTTACAGGGAATCGAACCCGGCGTAGCATCACGGGAAGCTTGAATGCTGTCCCAGAGTCACTTGAGAGGTGCTGCTATTTCAGAACTTTCTGAAACCAAACTATCAGGAATGCTCCCAAAAATAGTTATAATTATGAATGTTTTGAAGAAAACTTGTATTACATATCAGTATATTGAACAACAATCATCAACCAATTACGTTATACATAATTGCAAGTTATATAATTGTTCATTTCTATTATTTAAAGTGAACTCATTCCATATCAAGTGACCGAATTTTGAAAATGTGCTTTCTGCTACTATGGAGATTGATAAAGTTTTGTATGCCGAGTTCGACACACCTCAAAAAAATGTTTGTAATATTTTAACTTCGCAAATGAAATAGTTTTAAATGCAGTGGATTTTGACTTCATTTAGCTATTAGATTTTGGAAAATTTGATATACATTATTTATTCTCCGTTATTATAACACCAAATGAAAGTGTTACTCAACATGTTTTGTTTTATTTAATGGAACTAGTATCCGATTGGTTCTTATTGACATCAGTGAGCAGTTAGTAGCAAAGTCCTCGAACACAGTATGTTCAAAACAAAATTCGAAACTTTAAATTTGTTGAACTTAATAATATTCAAGTGAGTGAACTCCAGCCCTTAGTGAATAAAATCAAGAGTGAAATTAAGCACATATCATCTTAATATAACCTTGTTTGGCACAACTTTAGCCTCCTTACCAATATTTAAACGTTAATGATTTTCGCTAGAGGCTCCAAAATACAGTAAATTCAACATTTTTCTGACAATGACTTATAGAATACTTTCAAATCTTTATCACCAGAAAGAGCGTGATTTGAAGCACAACGAAAAGTAAATTTGATTGCCAATCGGAGGAACACAATACTAGAAATTTAATAAAAAGTGCAGAAATATCGACGAAAAATAGTGATAAAAAAATTAGAGAGTTTAATGTTATATAGTTTTCATGTTATTTCAATAAGGAAAGCAACATTATACCTCAACATAGTGTTTTGTGAATGTATAATTGTAAGAACTTAACTCATTAAATTTGAACATTAACTAAAAACGTTCAATTTTATTAAAATTCAGCTGGAGCCTGGTTCTGGGAGTTCTTGTTGACCTTTTCACTGGCGAGTCGCGCCCAAAATAAACAAAACACCACAAATGGTGAACATCAACAAAAAACGATCACACGAACAGCCTTGCTAACAACTGCTGGCAGAAATTTGGACAATTTTTCGGTGTTGCCACTCGTCAGCTGGCAGTCCTGGACAGTTTTCATTCTCGAATACTAATTTGCACGGAAGTTTGAATCACTGACTGCGTGGACTAATCCTGAACAAATGGTACTTGGAAACTATCTTTATCCTCCGAAGTGAATTTTTTTGATATGGCCTCTGATATTAAATTCATGAATATCTTTTACTATTAAAGTCTGCGTATTTCCACCAACAGTCGATATATGTTTGTGACTGAATACAGGTATTTAATATTTAATAATGCACTGGTTCCCAACTAATACATTGTTCTTTAAAATGTATTAAAGTTGTATTTTAAAATCTATTTTAGGTATCCATACGTATTTTGAGAAAAAGTTAGTGTTTGCCGAAAAAGAATACAAAAAAATTAACATTTCAAAAACATGTTCACTATAACATTTAATATGCATTTTACAATTGAATTTACGAAGGTAAGGGTGTTACAATTAAAATGCGTAATATATTTAATTTATTCATATTCCCTTACTACCATACAGGACGATGTAACCTCTCGGTGCGTGAGTGCAATGCTTGAAGATGAGTGTCTACGAGAGAGTAAGAGCTAGTGCGAGTGCACTTCGCAAGAGCGTGCCCACTTGCGAGCGGTTCGCGGAATTACCAATTCGAGAGAGTGAACTCGCGCCGCAATTTGGAGACCAACTCCCAAATGCCTGACTCTGGTGAGCAGTCAGCTATGGAGATACTTAAGAAGTGCAAGAAGGATGTTAAGAAAACGGTGTCAGACAATTGCGTTTTATATGTCTCTGTTAAAAAAGATACATTTAAACCAAATATTAAAAGAAATATTTTATAGACTGTGTAGATTTGTAAAAACGTTACTAATTTGGGAATTTACATTGAACAAGGAATTTTTAAAACATTTTTCGAATACGATTCGTAGTTCCATTTCTGGACATCAAATGGTTTAATTGTTATAAATCAATAGATGTCGGAAGAAATTCATCAAGTATTGTAAGTAATTCATGTAGATATACAATTATTTACAAACAAGCATCATTTTTTATTTTTCGTTAAATAATTTAAACATTATAGGAGTCTCTAAATATCTAGAAATACAAATTTTCCTAATTCACACTTAATACTATTTAATTCTGAACCCTGCGAAGGGATGCTCTCCAGTATAACCAAAAATGCCTTTCTGCATGACTATCATACGCTTTGTATCACTAATGAGAGCATTCTAATGAGCATGGTAATGAGAATGGTAATTTTCTACCGCTCTAATCAGCAAGGTCTCCTCAGTTTCACGATTTCTGCTCTCAGCGGACGTGCATAGTATGTGCGAATCTTAGCTCAGATGTGTCCTCTATCGGTGCCCTAGATCAGCTCTCCGTTGTCCGCTCATAGAATCGTTCTCCATGAGCACCTCACCGTTCTCCGATTCGCCCTCTCTCAGAACTGGGTTTATTGGCAAGAAACGCTCTCGACACTAAATAGCCAAAGCGTAGCTGCGTGAACGAACAAGCACTTCATTGAACCACTCATATTGCATGTTAATTACAGCTTATTTGACTAATCCCGACTGTGGCAAATTGATCAGTTCTATCAATTATTATTATTATTATTATTATTATTATTATTATTATTATTATTATTTAATTCTTCATAGTTTTTACTGTTTGGTATGTCATCCACTCACAGGTATGATGACTAGGTATGCGGTTGCTTTATTGAAGATTCAGGTGGATTCTAACAATACGGCATGTATTCATGATGACTACCTTCTGTCTATTGTATATACCCCTGGCGTCCACGTGAAGACACTCTAGTGCTCAAGTGTCATTTTCGGTATCACTCCTGTGGCTGATTTTGTTATAGGCACAGTTGTCACTTTGCTGAAGTTCCACTGAGCTGCGACTTCATGGGCGAGATGAGCGTGGTGGTGGTTGCATTTTATTTGTTTCTCGCAGTGGTGGTTTTTATTATTTTAAATATTTTTCGGTATGATTATTGTTTAAATTGGACAACAATCTTATTCAAAATGTATCTCTCTACTCGGCGTCATACTTGAAATAATTGTGGAGAGTCGAATCTCGACCCCTGAAGCGTGCCCTCGCGTTGAAGCTGTGGCAGTTGATCAGCACATTCAAAGGCTTCATAATTCAGCAAAATAGGGTTATTGTACTAGAAGTAAATAAAAAAAATTGTTTGTTCTTGACATCACTTTTATTGTAGGTTATTTTTGCTAAGTATTTTCAGCAATCGTTTTATTATTTTTTCCCTTATTTCATTTTTGTAGCGGTGACTCATATTTCTTTAAATATTTTTTGTACAAATGCTTTTAAAATGGATGGTAGTTTTGGTCAAAACGTATATCTCTAGTCGGCGTCTTGTTGGGAGTGATTCTGGGGAGGCTGGAGTGCATCATGTGTCCACCCCTGGAGTGCGCGCTCCCGTTGCCGATCAGGCGCGACATGCGACCCGCGCTGGGGGCAGCTCGTTGGCGGCGGCGGCGGCGGCGGCGGCGGCGGCTCTCGGGGAATCGAGGAGTGACCTACTGACCTGCATTTAGCTGCGATCGCCAAATTGGCTAGCTGCAGGGTTATCACGCATAGAAGCGGGAACGGTGTCAATGATTCTAAAATTAATGCAATGAAATGTTGATAGATAAAATAGATTGTCACGAAGGTAAATATTTAATCCCACCGGTAACCGAGCCTGGTACATTCTATTACCCGGAAGGTGCTCTACCGACTGAGCTATAGAATCAAACGTTGCACCTTAAATCGATCAGCGATCACAATATAATGTAGTATTATTTTAATGAAGTGTGGAGATGAACGAAATAGAGGGAAATGAAGTGAAACGTAACGAAACGGTACGAAATGCAACGAAATATGTCTTATCACTTTTCGTCCATCTTCACTACTCACGCCAATTGTACAATTTATTGGCACACGTTTGGGTGACCCTGGTTGCAGATGTCACTGAGACGGGAGAGTCCTGACTGCTCCTATTCGAAGGGTCATAGGTTCGAAGTTCCCTGGTCATGGGGGTTTGTGTTAGTTAAATTATTTTTAGTAATAATCATTCGTAAATCTGACGTAAATCACTGCTACTACTAACATTAGTTGTTATAGATCTCATAATTGTTATATTGATAACTATAATTATTATATTTTTAATACCAGGGATCGCTGTAAATAGCTTCCTGACGAACATGCATCAGCCATGGTAGATCCGCCTTGAAGGATTGAGAGAAAATATGCTCGAGCTTTAGCTCACTTCTAACATGGTTCAAATGTGAAGAAAATGAAAAAGGACAATGCATTGATATATTTTTTTCTTAGTTAATAATTTAGGTCGATTGTTCTGAAAATCTGTTTCAAATAGGAATCGGTTACAACTCCTCCGGAAATAATTTGATTGCGAGATCCAGAGAAGCGAATGACACAAATCACATGCCAAAGGACTCGAGAGGGGGGGGAGGGATAGCTTCTCTTCCTGCCTCGCTAAGGAACAGCTTCTGAATTGAAAGCAGGAAGCTCATTAGCAGAACTGTAGGGATAGTTTGGCGGAAGTTCCATTGCATTATCTTCAAACTCCACGAGACGGAGGCTTCCAGGATCCGTTAGCGTGAGCGTGGCCCCGCTCTGGGATAACGTCGTGTATAAAAAATTCTAGTTCTTCATATCTTGCGCCAGGTGCACGCGTCTACCCTGAGCAGTTCGGCGTCAGCCTGTGAGTAGTTCGCCCTTGTGAGGACAGCTGGCGCCACTCAAGGGAGGACGGGGCGCCCCTCTCCTCACACCCAACCCCCGCCCACCTGCCACCGTTGCGACGCCTGCCCCAACCACGGTTCCCCTCGACTGCATTAAAGGGGCATCGCTGGTTCCTGAAATGGCGCTTTCTTACTTTCCTATTACGTTCTGTACACTTCTATTGTAGATTGCGGCGGAGGTGGTTTGCGACAGTGATAATTGCACCGCTGATGATTGGTGAACGGTTTTGGTGGTGATGAGCTGTTCATAGCTAATTGGGGCGCTCATTTCTGCATAGCAGTTTTCGTCATTTTTTATCATGCTGGCAAAGTGTTTTCGTGGCGTTCGGTTGTTTTTGTTTCTTATTCTCAGATTCCAGAGTGATTGTTCCAGTTCTCATTACTTTTATCGCTCCCCAGCTCAAACTCAATTACAACCGATCACGCCTACCACAACCACGACCGTCGCAACCAACCTGCCAGGAACATCACCCAAACCGCGCACCATCGCAAACACAATCACCATCGTCGCAATCACCACCATCACAATTATCCCCATCTCAATAATCACCGATGCTATAACCACTCTCGAAATCATCACTATCGCAATCATCAATTGCCTCGCCGCCACAATCACCCCGTCACCACCGCTGCTGCAGTCTTCCCCCATCGCTGAAATCACCACCTCGGCCGCAATCACCATCGCCACTTCAATGACCATCATTGCGCCGCCGCAATCACCACATTCGCCGAAATAACCACCGCTACAACAACCTTCACAACAATCATTCTCAGTACCACTCCCACTACCTCAACCACCACCACCTTCACCACCATCACCACCATCACCACCATCACCACCATCACCACCATCACCACCATGCACCACATCACAATCAACTACCATCACACATCAGCACCATCACGCACTTCACACTCCACCTTCACCACACTTCAACCACATCACACGCATCAGACATCACACCATCACACCATCCCACACATCACCACCATACCCATCACCACTCACCAGCATCACCACCATTACCACCACACCACATCACACCATCACCACATCACCACCATCACACATCACCACCATCACACCATCACACCTTCACCACTTCACTACACCTCCACCACCTTCACCACTTCACCACCTTCACCACCTTCACCACCTAAACTTCAACCACCTTCACACACCATACACCACATCAATCACACAATAACAGAAACCCCACAATAGGGTTTCAATGGAGCAAAAGTGGTACTCAGTTGACCCTATCAATCTCGATTTTCTTCATCAGATGTCATTTATCTTTTAAATTTTGTCGTCTCCCTTATACCCTCCCCCTTTCCCAAGAAATACTGCACCACCGCCGTTCTTCTCTCTTCTACTCGCCGTCGTTAGCGCCTCCTGAGCCGCTCCCGCCTCCGCACCACCTGTCATGTCTCTTCAGCCCGCTCGACAACTTCTACGCCATCTTCTCCTTCTTGCAGTTTTTTTCTCATCGCCCCCACTACCTTTCCGTGACCACTCCACGTCCTTTCCATCACTCCCACTGCCACCTCCTTCGTCGTGTAGGCTTCGCCGCCGTCTTCCTCCAGCTGGCGAATCTCTCGGTCGGCGACTGGCGTCCGACGGGCCGTCGCCCTGCCCGCCCCGCGCCCCGCCCCGCCCCGCCCCGCCCCCCTACGCCCCGCGGTCGCCCACTCGCCAAACTTCGGCGGCGCTTTTGTTTGCCCCGCAGAGCTCCGGGCGATATTCTACAAAGTTTCCCTTGACAGTTGCGGTAACAAGTGCAGAGCGCGGGGCGCGGTTTTCGCCGGTTCGAGTGATAGGGGACGGCGAGGGCGCGGAGTTGGTGATTGTCTTTCTGATCGCCTCGCGGGGACTGGCAAGTTACTCTTCAAAGGGAGGGACGAGTTCCAGCGGAGGTCCGTGATTTCATTGTAGTTGGGAAGAATATTTCAAGAATCTTTCCGGCTGATGTACAATAGTTGAAAAAAGTAGTTTCTTCGAGTGGGTAAATCACATGGACTTCTTAGACCAGAGGTCTTTTTGTAACCGCGGGCTGCGTTGTCAGACACTCAATATCTCGCGGGATGCCTGCATTTGAAACTTATTTTTTATTCGACAAAGTATACTTTGCTGTGCGCGTACCGCAAAACAGTCAATAGGTAGTGAAGATAAGTAATAGTTTCCATGTATGAATGCTGAAAAAGGATTTTGAAACAGACTCATCTCATTTGGAAAATTATGCATTTGGACAAATTGCAGTTTAAACTCTCTATGTCTTCTGTTTCATGAAGATTTTTGTCAACAGGGAAATCATGGTGTTTGTCTTCATAGTCGAAACTCTTACAACACGGAAAATGAACAAAAATGTTATTTCTTACTTGCCCTTAAATTTTTTCAATTTGCTTTTAAATACCTTTAATGCAATTATAACGCCCTAGTGACGTTTTTGTAAGAACATGAAGCCTAAAAACAGAATTTACCCATCACACGTTTATATTTAACGAACTGCTTTTTCTCAAAGAGATTTTATCGGGGTTCCGGACGTCCCCTTTTCATTTTAAAACATAAAGAAATGAATTGTAAGACATTACCTCAAAATAATTCAAATGTGACAAGAAATATGAAGGTTCGAATGTACTACGAAATAAAGTACGTATTTTTACGCACATACTCGTTTATATTCCTGTAATATTTTGTGTGCCGTATATGCCTGCCGGTTTCTCACTGAAATCACTGAATCGCCTGTCAATTTCCTTTCACGTCATTTCTTTTCATGTCGTTCTTTTAATCTGACACATCTGGTTGTCAGAAGGGAGCTCTAAAGGGACTGAGGATGCCAGCGCTGACTTACCTCAGGACTGACATCTGCTTGGTTCGCAGAAGACACGAATTCTCGCAAGAAGCCGTCCAATTCCGTGCCTTCGATATAACCATTACCTACAAAGGAAAGTCATTTGTTTATTGAGTATCACTGTAGTTCTTATTAAATAAGTTACAGCAAATAATAGTAAAACAGTTATATTAGCGTGAAAGTATTTCAGTTCATCGCATGCATAAGTCCTAGGTAAATGCTTATTCCACCAGTCTGCATTGACCAGAACGGAATTTGTGCCTTTCTCTTGTCTTAAAAATATTTCTCATCTCCTTATTTGTTTCCTTTTCGATATAAATCTCCACGCTCGTTATTTCAAAATTGCGGGAAAAAATATTTCGTTTGAAGCGATGATTAATTGTTAATATTAATTACATGTCAAGTGTTCTCGTTTCCTAATATTATAAAATATATTTTTGTTAAGTTTTAATACTGAGAAAATGTTCATTTCAAATTATTTATTTGTTAATAAAATCATGTTTATTACCCTTATAAATATACCTTCAATTTATAACAGCGTCTATTATTGAAAAATATATTGATTTTTATAATAAAGACCTCAAAACGGCAGCCTATTTACTGAAAGAAATTGCACTTCTCATTTCTTTCGCAATATTGTTTAGTTTCCCATATTTATTTTTGGCAACTTCTGAAAGTTATAATACAAATAAAACGATGCAAGAGAAATTAAAAATAAAGAAATCTTCTAGTCTCTCGGTACTGTTTTTATGTTGCTGCTGTTATCTCAAATAGATTATTTTATATAACAATACTTGTAATTTAATTTTATAATTCTAATGACATACAGTGGTTCAAGATCTGACTCCTGAATAATAGTCGCAAATCTCCCGGGAGCCCCTACGGTATCTTAAAAGTCTTTAACCAGCTGTTTAGCTCAAAGTCAGTATTGTCGCCGATTCTACAATGGCTTTTACTAGATGTCCTAGGGTTCGAGATGCGACGGTCGCGGGGCTGATTTTCGACACTACATAGCTACGTCGAATTCCGCCTCTGACTTTTCTGGAACGATGCAGGTCTGTCTAATTCTTGTAAGCAAGTCACGCAGCTCACATTTCGTTTTTTTTCCTTCCTGGGGATATTCCACCTTCAGGGGACGCCAATTTTGTCTGTTCGTGCGCGGTACCCACTATGTCCCTCATGGGGTCACATATTAACCTTTACATTAGACACACATGCGGGATCCTTGGTTATGGTCAGCACACTGACAAGACCTTCCGCAACAACACATGTATGTGAAAGACAAAGGACAAACAACCATGCCCACGGCGGGACTCGAACTCGCGATCCTTCTGACCCAAACGCTAAGTCGGCAAACGCTCCGCTAACATTTCGTAATAATAATAATAATAATAATAATAATAATAATAATAATAATAATAATAATAATAATAATAATTGTAATTATCTCCTCGTAATTAACCCTCAAGGTTAAGAATATTTCTTCATCAAAGCATTGGTTAGAAGTTATGGACGCGAACTCACAGCAATCCCTCGTAAGTGTCTGCATCAAGGTGGATGACACATATGAAGTTATTTCCTACCGTGGTTTCGCGCTGCATTGAAGCTCGATCTGGCAGATTTATTTCTCGTTGCGTCGCGTTAACAGAAGCGCTTCGGGAAGCGTTGCGATCTGGGGATGATGATGAATGCGAGGAAGTGATGCACGAGCGAGCACGCGGTGTTTATGCATGTTTTCCACTAGAGTGGCTGCATGAATATTTAGTCGTAGAGCCCCCGCCCTGCTTCGACATACGGTCTCTTCATCAAACCGGCATTGTGTACGTTATTAATATGTGACCATGATGGGCTGTATCATCCTTTTGTAATGAATTTCTGCATGTTAATGACTACTTATGTCGTGGGCAAACTATTAATCAATGCCTCCGTGTAACAATATAAGCTTTACGTGATTAATTCATGTGACTCTAAAGAGTTTTTGTTTATTTTCTTAATTAATTCTTAGTATATTTTCAGTATACGAAGGAAAACTTTTTAGTTCTCCAATTTGCCAGGGTTGGAAATTTAGTAGCAAGTAAAAATAAATTTATATTTGATTTTATTTATTATCTTTCAAATTCGGATACTCTACACAATATGGACATTTTTATTAAACGATTAATTTTATAGTCACGAGTTTGGTTAAAAATATGGTAAGTAGCTGCGCGGCAAGATAGCCTTGTGCAAAAATTGGAAATTTGAACAGATATTTTGACCTTGCAGTAGTGATGTTGCAGGGTAAAAGCGAATATGTACTTATCCTTCTAACAATATATTACTGTGCATCGTTCTAATAATTTTGTAACTGCCGTGGACTTAAAGCCAAATACCCGTTCATAGAATTAGGTAACTTCTTGTTAACAGGAATGATTCCGTTGGCGTTATATAAAACAATAAATGAGCCCAGGGGTGAGTCAATTAAGATATAATGATGTCTCGTATATACAGACATGCTGAGCAGAAAAAAACTAGAAAGCGTAACTTGGCTCGCAGGGCGTTGGGGATTCTCCTCACACTTAGTCTCCGGCATCTCTCCAGTGGTCCACATTTCAACTTTGCGCGTTTGTGGGTGGATGTGGCAGTGATTGTGGCTCTGCGACGGTCATCTAATTCGATTACGAATCGATACGAATCGAATACCTCTCGGCGCTTACGAGGCAAACCTTCTCCAAGAGAATCAAATGTCACCGATACCGAACACGTGGCGACATCACGTTGAACGGCGACGGATGTAAAGTTAGCCTACTGTAGGCGATTGTCGAGGATGGGACACAACACTAAGTGGGCATAGCCTAAACCAAGGAGGTAGGGACTATCTTTCTGTTCCCTTTTCCATTTAACATTTTTTCTTACATACAACATATTTTCCTGGTAAATAAATAAATCACATTACAAGTGAAATTAAATTATAAAAGATTCAATTAATTAATACAATTGATTTTATGTTGAACCTTTCACGGGATTGGCAGATCTCTTGGCGAGTTTCTTCTCTAAAAGTAGTATAGCGATTCCCCCTGATTCTCAAATGAAAAAAAGGGAAAATCAGATATTGAACATATTTAGGGAAATAAAACGATTTTTTACGAAAGGCTACGGGGCACCTTTAGAAATTTCCATGAGGCGGGGTTTAGGGGAGGAGAGACACGGCCTCCGGTTTACTCTGTGCGTACGTCTATGAACACAGTTGCAATCATTTGAATATCTGCAAACACGTGATACAATCCTTGACGTCTTTGCAGTCTTCAGGGACATACCAACATTTTGACGTACTCTGTTTATAAACTTGTGAATCATTTTTCGCGGCAGTTCAATCCATTGAGCAAGAATTGCTCAAATTGGCTGATCTAGGGCAATGGATGTACTCAGGAAAAGGTTTGCTGTTTACACATATAGTTTCACAAAATGCATGTAGTAATGAAGCCTAAGAATTTTTAGAGAACTACGAAAATATTTTGAACTGTGGCGATGAGGAGGGGGGGCGTGGTCTCTGTGAAAAAAATTGAAACAAGCCCTGCATCTTACATAATAAAACATTTATTTTTCAAGCATGTTAAATTCCCGATTTTCCCCTTTTTACTTGACAATTCGGGGAATTGGTCTACGATAATCGGGTAAGGAGCTCGTCAAGTCATTTTGCAACCCTGTAGATGATACAATAAAGTGAAAAATATTGTTTTTATCGATTCTATGACTAACTTATTTTCTCCTTGTACGTTTATATGTTTATTAAGTCGTATATTAGTAAAAAGTTTAATAGAACAGGAGGCGCGGAAACGTAGTTTTAGGCTGCGCACACCTATGTCTATAACCACTAATGTTTTCCCCTGTAACGTGTTTACGCACTCATGGAGTAACATGTTTTCGGCCCCGTAACGAGCGGCGGTACGCGCCGCGCGCCCTCCACGTGCCTTGGGGAACACCACGCAGCCGCCGCCGAGCGATCGATGGACCACTGCAGCGGCGGCACTAGCTGCGCGTCGCCCGCAACGCCCCTGCATTCGGCGGCGAGCGAATATTTGGCGCTGACCGGATTGCGCGCCGCCCGCCCACTCGCTCTCGCCCGCCGCCCACTCACTTGCACCGCGTCACGTTACTTGCCCGCCGCCGCTCCGGCCCGCGCCTGTGACTCTCATCTCTTTGTCACCCAGACACCAGCTAGTCCGCTCCGCCCCGCTCCGTCCGCCCGCCCGCATGTGAGATTACGCCCGCCCGCTTGTCCGTCCCGCCGCTCGTCGCCCGCACCGCTTGTCCGCCGCCGCTTGCCCGCCGCATCATCCAAACAACGATCAACCTCAACCAACCACCAACCCACCAACCAACCCACCCATCCGCTCACCCGCCCGCCTACCCACTTGCCTGTTCACCTACTTGCCCACACGCCTGCCCGCTTGTCCGCCAGCTTGTCCGCCCACACTACGTGACGCCACTCGACGGCTTGCCGATCGCGTGCCATTCTCCGCCGCCGCCGCCGAAAATTCCGGAAGCTGTCAGTACAGTTAATGGGCCGATCATGCACTCCCCGTCCGCCTACACTGGAATGTTTCGCGTTGCTGAATTATGGAAAATTCCGTGGGGTCGTTTGTTCTACGCTGCGGAATAGTAGAATTTACTACTTTATTCAATAACGTGATTGGAAAGCAAAAACAGAAACAGTATTACTAACTGCCCAATAATTACGGAGGATCGTTTATAAAAAAACTGCAGCAAAGTATAACATACAAGTATAACATACTTGTAGTTTAATTTACAGTGATCTTATTTACCTTAATTCCATTTACCAGTATATTTTCCAGGTCTAAAATAAAATTAGTTTATTCGTTAAATTATGAATTTGATTTTTACTGTACTGGTCTATCACCGATAACAACGGGAGTTGTCAATGCAATTAATGCACTAATCATGCAACCTCCCTCTCCGCGAAGACTGGAATATACCGTTTTGCCGAGTAATGCAAAATTCTACGCGGCCATTGATTCTAAACTACGACAATGTACTGTGTTTAACAAATTGAGAACATTACAGAAAACTAGAGACAAGAGTGTGCCGA